TTTTTTTTTTTTTTTTTTTTTTTTTTACCTTGCACCCCCAAGTCACCACCAGGGGCAGTCCTCCTATTCATCCTGACCTCGTAACACCACTGCCTGGCAGTCTTGGAGAAAGAGTCCCTGGGAGTGCTGAGTGATCCCCTAAGTGTGCTTGGAGGGGACCGAAACTATGGGTGGGTTGGTGCCAGCCAACAAGCAAGAAACCTAGAAGGGAGGAAACCAGCTGGAAGTGAAGGGAAGAGTCTTAGGGAAAGGCAAACCTAGGGTTATTGCTAGGTTACAGGTAGACATAGGGAAGGGCTCTGGAAAGGACCACTCCAAGCTATAGGTGAAAATGGGGGATTGCCTAGGGAAGGGCAACCCCCAGGTTAGATGAACATTGAGATGACAGCCATGAGGCATGGGGTGGCTAGTAAGGGGTGAATGGAGGCCACATGGGGCACCCTGGTGAAAGTACTGTGGAACATTTCCTTCTACCAAGAAAGATTGCCCCATGAACCACTCCAAGCATCCAGCAGAGGATGCTGTGTTACACAGAACTGAGGATGGTCAGTAGGAGGGAATTTGAGCCCAGGGGCTGCACTGGAGACAGCTGAGGTTGGATCAGGGGCCTATGAAACTTGGGAAGGGCTGTGACTAGATGTGGCCATGGTACTATGTTATAGGGGATAGGCAGGCAAATTTATTTGGGTAGATGTTGATATCTTCTGTCAGACTGAGTAGATGGAAAAAAGTTCTCTGCAAACTTTCGGGGACAAGCACCCTTCTTCAGGCATTGGGAGACTCTATTGTTGTTCTGAGATCTGCAAGTTAGGAAAGAAGCCGATGTTGAAGGGGAAACAGGCCTTGGAGAAACTGTGCAGGGCAGGGGCAGAGAAGCACTGAAAACTATGCTGAGGGGAAGAAGAGCCCTGAGGACTGTGCCAAGAGGGAAAGCACATAAAGGGGCTTCTCTGACTTCTAAAGGCACCCCCACTCCCCCCCAGTCCTTCCTGACATTTAATATTGGCAGGCAGGAAACAGGATGTGCTACAGAGGCCAGAGAGCATAGCAAGCTAATCTGACAACCAAGGGGCAGCCGACTCCAGGGTCAGAGCCCCAAACCTGCTAAAGCAGGTAGCTGAAATAAAAGTAGTATATAAATAACCTCTGCTGAATTGAAGCATGATAATGTAAGTGTGTTTCTGAAACACAACCAGCACATAGTAAGAACCTCAAAAAGAGAAATTAGAAATTTATCACTGAGACAAAAATGTGAAGACCAAGTTGTGACAGGCAAGGTTCTTTGGGTGAATCTGCTATCTTTTATTAGACTAACTTAAATAGTTGGAAAATAATATAAGATATCAGATTCACCCAAAGAACCTTGTCTGCCTATGTCCTTAGACCAAAACAGCTACAACCTATACCCCAAGATCATGTTGTGGAGTTCTAAATATCAAAGGATTTATTCTAATAGTGTTTGAGGGGGGAAAAAAAGCATTTTTCTTGCTAGCAGCATAAATATGGGAAGCACAGTAGGAAGAGGCAACAACCTGTGACTAGGTAAGCTGCTTAACAGGGGGTTAACAGAGCAAACTGCTGACTTCTTCAGGCAGGCTTTTGCTCCCTGAGAAGCTCCTCCGCCAGTCCTTTCACGTATTCCAGTCTTTAGGCAACAAATAAACCAAAACATAAAACAAAATGAAAACTCTTCTGCCCTGTCCTGGGTGATTGAGGAGTAACCCTTTGGCTCTGGCTACCATCACAGCAGCCTGGCCCCATTCTTATAGCAAGCAGTTTCATTCAGTTTGCTTTTTCCCCTTCTGTTTACTCTTCAGGAAGATTTTTAAGCTCTGAGCAGGACAGTCCCTGGCTATCCAAGGGCATTTTTACACATATAAGCACCACAGCACCAGGCACTTTGAAAGGCGCCTGGTTGTACACGTAGCAAAATATGAGTCGGCGCTGAGAAAATGGCGGCGGTGCACTTTTGAACTAAAACACCTCGGAGGTGCTTTAGTTAAAAAATAAATAAATAAATAAAAATAAAAATGCACCACTGCCATTCTCTCTGCACTGAGATGCATTTCACCACTTATACAACTGCACGTGGCACAGCGCAGTGCACGTCAGCTTGCATGCAGAGCAGACTTGATTAATTAAGTCTGCTCCAAAGCGGTAGATCCCCAACACATCACAGGTGGTATATAAATGCCCCAGATGCCCTGCAACTAGCCTCTCAACACGGTTGAGTGTTCCCTCTTAAAGGAAAAGACCACGCTGTTACACCCCTAGCTGCTGGCTAGTGGTGGACAGTTCCTTCCCCAGCAGGAAGGGATGTCCCAGGAGCAGCCTGAGGGGTGCTGCTGCTACTGCAGTTGTCCACAAGCAGCCACAGGGTGTTGTTCCTTCCTACTGCAGCTGCCTGATAGATAGATGGATAGATAGATGATTTCCTGAGGTCCCTTCAAACCCTAACTTTCTATAATTTTATATATATTAAAATTATAGAAAGTTAGGGTTTGAAGGGACCTCAGGAGGTCATCTAGTCCAATCTCCTCCACAAAGCAGGACCAGCCCCAAGTAGATCATCCTACCCAACCATATGCTACTGGCAAGCAAGAAAATACAGTGGAACTGAGCCCTGGGATACCCACAAGCCCAGCCCCAGGTGCCCTAGAAAGGCAGACTGCACCCAACCAGCTCCATCCCCAGCAGGCAGACTGCACCTGCAGCCCCAAATGAGGCAGTGTACACTGAGGTAGGCACTCCTGTCTTTCACTTGAGCCATGCACCCCAATTTCCAGCAGTTTATTTTTTGCAGGGGAAAAGTATGCTGTGCAAGAAAACATGCTTTGGGAGTTTGGCTCCTTAAAAGTATGTTAAATCCTTCTAGTAATGTATTTGTCATTCAGATGCTAAAACAGCACAGGGATTATTAACTTGCTGAATTAATGAAGCCTTTCTAGATTAAAATACCTAGTTTAGGTCTTTTTTTCTTTGGATCAAATAAACCAGCATCTGTTGTATACTTAGCAGAAATAAAGCTAAGCTTTATTAAGTCTGGTTCTGTAGTAAAAACTTTAGTTATAGCTGCAAAGACATTAGCACAGATCACATTTTTGCCACCTCATGCATATAAATATTTGGACAGTTACGGGCAATTACAAAAAGTGGGGTATGATGATACTGTTCTTGCAACCTGTCCTATAGGTGCTATCAGCTGTGAACAGTGAGACACGGCCTTTGTTTGTTTTTTGATTATGTATTTACAATCTATCAAACCCACAGAAGTGACCTTTGTGAGAAAACATTAACATGCAATAAGTTAAAAGACAAAAGTTCTACCAATAAGACATTTTCTGTAGGCATTTATGAAAGCTGCGGAAGAACTTCCTATTTAACTTCATTTCTTTTCTAAGGTGGCAATTCAGATGCTTGTATTATTTCAGTTAATAGATTTATGTTTTTACAACAAAATTCTCCTCCCTTATACAGAAAATTTATTTTTTGTGCTGTCTCAGAATACAAATACAGCTGCATTTTTGCAGTATATCTGGAGGTATTACATAATTTAATATGCTTTTCCTTGCAGTGTGGAGGGTCAAACTTTTATACCTTCTCATCAACTTATGCCTTCTAGACATACACACCAACAGCCTTATTCATCTGCTCCAGGTAACAGCTTTACACCCAGGCTTGTTCAGTTGATTCTGTTTTATGAACTAAATGACATTCATCATATTAATATTCTTGTAAATATTCTTCATGAGGAATTCTTGGCTTCATTGGGAGATTCACAGATGGAAGTTTAAGATTGGGCCTATATTTTTTTTTAAATAGGTGTACCTTAGTAAATGCTTTTTGAAAAAAAAATTGCCTCTATCCATTTAATGAAGCTTGGGTTCTGTTTTGACTATGTGGAACATGGCTTGTACCCATTATTGTATAGCATAATGAACATTTTTATGGAGCAATAAAATTACCTTTATTTTCTAAGGGATGGGTATAGTGTGCACAGTGGACTTCATTAAAGTGATTGCTATCCTCTTGTTCACATTAAAGTAAAAAGCAATTTAAGCAAAACAAAACAGAAAACAAAATCAAAGCTTGATCACTTGCTATTGTATGAATGATTAAAGTAACTAATTTGTTATACTAATTTGAGCTCACTTTAAAATGTTTTTCCAAGTATTTCCATAAGTATTAACTTGGATACATTGCTTTAATTTCAATTAGGAGTTATTAGAAGGTCCACATCTATGTCATATATGGATGGGTATGTAGGAACCTGGCCCAAAGAGAAAAGGTGAGTAATCATTGCATAGGAGGTGGCTTAAGAATTAATGACCTATAGCTGTCATCATTTGGACTTTCAGTAGGCCTTTGAGAGAGTTCACCCAAGAGACTTGGAGAATCAGGTACTCAGAAAAAAGAAAAGCAATATTGTGCATTAGAAACTTGCTAACAGAAAACTGAACAGGAATAAATGTGAGTTTTCAGCATTTGCAAGAGATGGGGACTGCTCCAACATTTCGTAATGGATCAGTGGTGTTAAATATACTTTAACTTTTAACAACATACTGTAGTTACCTGATTCTAAGATGACTTGCAATTTAAGATGAACTCCCCACAATAATTACATTCTGTATATGGGAAATTTTATATATTTGTTAAAGTCTTTCATATATAGAATCTAATTATTGGAGCATCATCTTAAATGCATCTCCCTTCTTCCCCCACTGCAGCAGGGAAAGCAGTGCCAGGGAGGGGAGGCAGTAGGCAAGCAGGTGGCTGGCGGGGTGGCAGTGGGAAAATAAGGCAGCATGACCTCTGCCTTTTGCCTTCCCCACACCTTACCCCCTGCTGCCTGCTCCACTTGTATCCCATCCTTACCCATCAGTTCATGCACACCCAGCACCTGCCTGTACTGTTTTCGCCCCTCACTCCTCCATGCCTACTCTCCTGCCTGGTCCCCAGCTGCTATCTTCCCTCTCCTGCTGCCTGTGCACCCCATAGCCTCTGCCTCTTTGCCCCACTCCCTGACCACTGACCCTCCAGCTCCCCTCCAAGCCAGGGTGTAGAATTGCTCCAGCCGCAGCCTGGTTATGCAGGTGTTGCAGCAGCAGCTCCAGTCAGAGCCCAGGCTGGAGCTGCTGCCACTGCTACTGTGCTGGGACTGGAGCAACCATGTGCTCTGTGTCCCTGGCTGGAGTGGGACTGGAATCAGGGGGCTAGCCAGTGGGGAGGAGGAAATTGGGAGGGGGGGGGACCTGCAGCTCTCACCCCAGCCCTAGGTCAGGGCTGAAGATAGAGCTGCAGCAGCTGCCTGCCCCACTGCCATCTTGTACTCCAATCCGAGGTGAGGGTTTTTTCCCTCCCATATTAAATAAAGAAACTCCTCTTGGATTCAAGTAAATACAGCAACTAAAAAATGACAATAGAAGGCCATCTGGCCATCAGCTCAGGATAGAGAAGTACTATTATGTAGATCAGTACAAACAGATTAGACTAGAAAGGGTATATGGTTTTATACTAAAGAATGTAAGCCAACTGCTAATTAGTAAGAGCTGGAAGTAGACTCGCTGCTGTCAGAAACAGGATTAGAAGGACCACAGCTATGATCCAGTATGGCAATTTCTGTATTCCTCAAAGTTCTTGGGTTTATTCCAGATTGCCAGTAATATTAATTTGTGTATGTGTGAAGTTAAGATGTATAAGATGCATAAGCATAGCTTATTTAAAGTAAATGTAGTTTGAATTAAAGGAAGGTATAAAAATAATAAAAGAATAATATTGGATAAAATGCTAAATTTAATTAAATTTGCTTATTTGTAATATGTTGCTATCTTATGAAACTAATCCATTTTCATGAGTACTACAACTTTAGAAGAATATTTAAATGTATATGATTTTTTTAAAAATATATATGAATTATGTTATTTTATTTTCATCCCATTTAGATCATCAGTGCATGGAGTTTCCTTTGACATTTCTTTTGATAAAGAAAATAGCATTCAGATATCTACTCCAAATAGAGGAATTACTAGATCTGTTAGTAATGAAGGTCTTGCGCAAAATAACACCCGCGTGCTCAAACACATTAGGAAAAATCTGTCCTTTAAGCCAGTAAATGGTGAAGAGGAAACTCAAGATATTGAAGAAGAAAAGGACATAGTATCTCCTACTGACCCAGAAGTCAGTGCATCTCTAAATACAAATCAAAGAAATGCCAATGAAAATAACCAGTACAGGCTTCCAAATGGAGCTTTGCAAAACAGGGCAATTTTGGATGATTTTGGCAATCAAATTGAGACCCCAAGCATTGAAGAAGCTTTGCAGATAATACATGACACTGAAAAATCTCCTGGTGTTATCCAGCCAGACCAAATAACAAATGGGTTCTTTCTTCATAACCAGGAAATGAGCATTTTTAACTCAAACATTAAACTAAATCAGCCTAGTCCTGACATCATCATAGACACAAAAGGTGCTCTGAGTCCGGTGACTGACAATACTGAAGTGGACACAGGAATACATGTGCCGTCAGAAGATATTCCTGAAACTATGGATGAGGATTCTTCTTTGAGGGATTACACGGTGAGCATGGACTCCGACATGGAAGAACCATCTAAATTTCTTCAAGATTATGATGTACGAGCTAGTAATCAGAGAGAGCAATTAAGTCCCTGTCCAAGCTCAATAAGTACCAAGTCACAAGCAGGCAGCAGTGCTTCTTCAAGCTCAGGAGTGAAAATGACCAGCTTTGCAGAGCAGAAATTTAGGAAACTGAATCATACAGATAGCAGAAGCAGTGGAAGCAGTTCGCAGAAAACTACCCCAGAAGGTTCTGAGCTGAATATTCCTCATGTAGTTGCTTGGGCTCACATACCCGAGGAAACGCCCCTTCCTCAAGCAAGAGATACTACGCAGTTGTTGGCCTCTGAAATGGTCCATCTTAGGATGAAACTGGAGGAAAAAAGGCGAGCCATTGAAGCTCAGAAAAAGAAAGTTGAAGCTGCCTTCACTAAGCAGAGGCAGAAAATGGGAAGAACAGCATTTCTGAACGTGGTGAAAAAGAAAGGGGATGGAATATCACCTCTTCGAGAAGAAGCCGTAGGAGCTGAAGATGAGAAATCCTTCACTGAAAGTGGTAGACTGAAAGAAAAAGAAGCTCAAAAACCAGGTGAACGAACTAGTAAAACTATGGAGGTAATAAAGGAAAGCACTGAAAATTCTCAGTCCAAGACCCCTTCCACACCCGTGGATTCTGAAAAGCAATGGAATTTGGCAAGTCCCTCAGAAGAAACTCTAAATGAAGGAGACATTTTAGAATATACAAAATCTATTGAAAAATTAAATTCTTCTCTACACTTCCTGCAACAGGAAATGCAACGCCTCTCCCTTCAACAAGAGATGTTGATGCAAATGCGGGAGCAGCAAGCCTGGGTTATTTCACCTCCTCAGCCTTCTCCTCAGAAGCAAATTCGAGAGCTTAAATCTTCATTGAGGCAAACAGGATCATCATCTCCTACTGCATCATTTTCCGTGGAATCTCCTCGCCCTACTCATCAATCCCCGCAGTCTTCTAACAGAAAAAATGCCTCTTTTCCCATTAAGATGCAAAGGACTCCTAGGCCAAATGAACTGAAAATAACACCTTTAAATCGCACCTTGACTGCTCCACGGTCTGTGGACAGTCTTCCTCGTTTAAGAAGATTTTCTCCAAGTCAGGTTCCCATTCAGACTAGATCATTTGTTTGCTTTGGGGATGATGGGGAACGTGTAGCTGAACCTCAGTTAAAGGGAAATCTTTTGAAAGAAGTCAAAGCTAAAGAGGAAGTAGCAAAAGAAGAACAACAAAAACAAAAAGGGACTTTGGAGGCATGTGAACAAAAATCAGAAGAGAAGGAGCTCAAGCCTGTTGAATCTAAGGTTTCTGAAGTGTTATCTCAGCCAATCACAGAAACTGTCTGCCTCACACCAAATGAAGATCAGCTGAGCCAACCAGTTTTGCCAACTCTCACTCCTAAAACAGCTAATTTAATTGAAGTTTCCCTCTCGGATTTAAAACCACCTGAAAAGGCTGAAGTTTCTGTTGAGAAATATGAAGGTGAGAGTGATAGAGAACAATTCGAGGATGACCAAAAAGTGTGTTGTGGATTCTTTTTTAAGGTAAGTGACCTAAAATGGTGCATGTTTGTTGGGCAAGTTATCTTTTTCTGAGGGAGCTTTTTAATTCAGAGATGGCACTTCAGTAACCACTGAGGTCAGTGCTTCAGAGTTCTGTGATGTCCTTGGTATTTGACTTTAAAACCTTCACTGCTCATGCTTGCTTTGGGACCATTGGAGCTTTCATAGCAATTTTGAATACAGAAGATCTCTTCAAATTAACAGTGTTTGAAAAGGTGTTTCAGAATTATTGCGGGTCAGGAAAATGTTTTAATGAATGTAGATTTTTTTTTTTACCATAAATTATTAATACGCACACTTAATAAGCTGCCTACCTCTCACTTTATCCCAGAATTGTAAATAAGATCTTGGAAATTTCTCCTTAGAGTACCTGTTGTCTTAGAGTTTATTTTAAAAGTGGCATATTTTTATGTCTGTTTAAAAAGATAAGACGGTGTACTAAAATATTTCTATTTAAGCAGAATTTCAGTCGGTGTGTTGTTTGTTTTTATTTTGTGTTGTTGTTTTGTTGGGTTTTTTTAAAGGTAGTTTGAATGCTAGAAGCTAACAGTGTTTTGAATGCAGGCTTCAAAGCTTTTCTTGGAGGCCAAAAGATTTTGCATTCCACAGTGTCATATATCTAAAGCAGGGGCAGGCAAATTATGGCCCATGGGCTGGATCTGGCCCATCAGGCTATTTCATCCAGCCCAAAGGCAGGTGCCTACCAATTCACTGTATCCAGCCTGACCCCAGGCTGCCCCTCCTGTACTCGCATGGGGCTAAGCCGTGCTCACTCCTACAGGGGCAGTGCACACTCTGCTCCCACCCTTGCCTGTGGGATGGCCCTGGCCCTGCAGGTGGAGAAGTGGCGGCAGATGGGGGAGAGGCAGTGGCGGCAGGCAGGGAAAGCGGTGGTGGTGGCGGCAGCAGGGGCAACTGGCAGTGAGTGGGCGGAGGGCGGGGAGGGGACTTCAGGAAGGGCAGGGGGCAGGCAAGAAGGTAGGGAAGTAGCAGGGGGAGGATGGCAGAGGTGGTGGGCAGGGACATAGGGTAGGAATGGTGGTGGCAGTGGCAGAAGTGGTGGTGGTGGGCAGGGATGAAGCAACAGCTGGCTGGGAGCGTGGGACCTGTGCCAGTGCCCTGGGTGGGGACCTAGGGTGGAGTGGCAGGAGCATGGAGCTTAGGCCAGCAGGGGTGTGGGGTCTTCCTGGCTCCATCACACAAGGCTCACATGCAGTTCCCAGGTTCTCCACCCAAGCTGCACACCTTTGGGGGAGATGCATGTGATGGAGCTGGTGGCCCATCCAAACTCACTGCTATGCACAGCTCATGGGGAGCGGTGGGGAGCTCTGCGCTATGAAGCTAGGCCAGCTCTGCCCCTCTCCCTGTCATCTCAGCTGAGCCCTGTGACCTGCACCGCTGGCTTCATCGCATTGGGCTCAGGCATGTGAGACCCGTGCAATGGAGCCAGGAGAATCCTGTGCCCTAGCCAGCCCAGGCTCTGTGCTCCTGCTGCTCTACTCCAGGTCCCCACCGGGCCCAGGGCACTAGTATGAGCCCTGCACTTCCACCCAGCTCACCATGACTGTGCACTGCCGGGGGTTCCACCTGCTGCTGCTGCTGGCAGCAGGGGCTGTGCACAGTGTGGGGGCATGTTTGTAGGGAGGGGCCTCACATCCACAGCCCCCCACATGTCCCCCTCAGCCATCCTCTGCCTCCATACACCCCACAGCCCCACCACAAACCCCATACACACC